CGATGAAATCCAGCCATTTGTGACAACATGGATGGACATTGAGGGTATAATGCAAAGTGAAATAAGTCAGAGGGAGAAGGTCAAATACCGTATGATTTCCTTCATTAAGTAGTAGATAATAACAACAATAAACAAACACATAGGGACAGAGATTGGATTGGTGGATACCAGAGGGGAAGGGGGGACGGAGGGGGGTGAAAGGGATAATTCGGTACATGTGTATGGTGATGGGTTGTAATCAGTATTTTGGTGGTGAACATGATGTAATCTATGCAGAAATAGAAGTACAATGATGTACACCAGAAATTTTTACAATGTTATAAACCAATAAAAAAAAAATAAATGAAAACTAAAAGAAGTAGAGGGCACAGAGAATAATTTTGTTTCTTCTTCCAGCTGAAGCACAATAATTGAAGGAGAAATAAGTCTATGAAATGCTTGTTAGAACTGAAGTCCAATCTACCACCAGCACCTTCTCTCCAGTAGCCGGTGACTATTTCACACACAATACTCCACTTAGTATGATGCTTTATTTAGCTTTATTTATTTAGACAGAGCTCCTTAATACACCCAACCAAACTATTTAATATTTATAATCCATTTATATTATTTATCTCCAATAAACGTTTAGAAAATAATTTATTTCTGAGATCTCTAGGCTCCCCAAAATTATAATTCTGAATTATACTGAATATTGAATATTGAAGGGACCTGTAGAGATTCAACTGCCAGCATCCCAAGAGAGGCCCTAAGTCTAACTGAATTCTCAGAACCCAGCCCAGTACTGGTTACACAGTAAGTGCCCCATAAATATTCACTAAATGCATAAAAAATGGTAGTATATTGGAAGATAAAAGTCCACACCTAAACAATACGGAAAAGGCAACGATCAGAAATTTTAGACCAGTAAGATGACTGTTGCAGATGGATAATCAAATAGATGGGGGTGAGTACTTAGAAATGAAGAGCCAGAAGCCAACAAAGGTCTCCTAAAATCAAGTCATGCCAGATGAGCCTTAGATTCTTTTCTCACTCTGCCTCTACAAGTGCAGAGGATGTCTTTTTTATTTATTTATTTATTTTTCCCCCAAAGCCCCAGTAGACAGTTGTATGTCATAGTTGCACACCCTTCTAGTTGCTGTATGTGGGACACGACCTCAGCATGGCCGGAAAAGCAGTGCGTCGGTGTGCGCCCGGGATCCGAACCCGGGCCACCAGTAGCGGAGTGCGCGCACTTAACCATTAAGCCACGGGGCCGGCCCCAGAGGATGTCTTTAACAACAGTAATTCTTGACTTTCATAAGACCTTTGACAAAGCCTTTTATTATACCTTTAAAAAATGTAGAGAAATAGCAGGCATGATGACAGAGCAGTTATAAGACAGTAACAAGTAGAAAAATCATAAAGAAAGACTGGTGGTTGAGAGATTGAGGTCAATCTAAAGAAATTCTTCAGCAGCATACCAGGAATTCCTGTGGGTCAACTTTCTTCTTCAGTGAGTTGGGGGAAGCATAAAAGGCATATGTGCAAGTAGCATAAAAGTGGAAGGGGTAAGTATCACGTTGGATGCACCGTAGTCCCCCTTTATCCACAGGGGATATGTTCCAAGATTCCCAGTGGATGTCTGAAACTATGGATGATACCGAACCCTATATATACTATGTTTTTTTTCTATACTGTACATACACACCTGTGATAAAGTTTAACTTATAAATTAGGCACAGCAAGAGATTAACGACAATAATAAAATAGAACAATTATAGCAATATACTATAGTAAAAGTTACCATAGATCTTAGCAACCTCAGCATACAATTTTTTTCTTTCCCTAAGTCAAGGACTTGCACGTTTTCACTTGAAGGAAGCACTTTACAGCTTCTCTTTGGCATATCTGAATTGCCAGCATCACTGCTCTTGCACTTTGGGGCCATTTTTAAGTAAAATAAGGGTTACTTGAACACAGGCACTGCAGTACTGCGACAGTCGATCTGATAACCAAGACAGCTACTAAGTGACTAATGGGTGGGTAGCATATAGAGTGTGGATACGCTGGACAAAGGGATGACTCACGTCCAGGGCGGGATAGAGCGGGACGGTGCGAGATTTCATCACACTACTCAGAACAGTGTGCAATTTAAAACTTATGAATTGTTTATTTCTGGGATTTTCTATTTAATATTTTTGGACTGCAGTTGACCGCGGATATGGGGGGACTACGCAGTTCAGAAGATCCTAACTGGGCTAGAATATTTGAGAGCAGCATGATAAAACCTAACAGGAATAAATGTAGTTTGTATAATTAGGTATACAAATAAATCATAATTAGAAATAAAATTACATAAAATGAAATAAATTTAGGATGAGGGAGATCTAATCCAGCAGCAGCTCAGATGTTTATCAGATCATTACCAGTACAATGTGAAAGCTGCTTTAAGCTAATGCATCAGCAAGCTGCATATCAGAAATGCAGTTCTAAATAAAGCTGGTTTTTAGTTCTCATATTTTGTACTAGCTAGTCCACATTTGGAACCTCATAACAAGAGGAACTCTGAGGAACAAATAAAAGATAACAACAAGAAGGAATAATTGAAGGGATTAAAGATGCTTTCTGATGAAGAGACAGCCTAGAGAGGATACATTAGACATCTTCACGTTCTTAAGAGTTTTCAGTTAGAAGTGGTAGGGTACGCTTAGTCTGTTTTCCAGAAGGCGCTTTTTTGAAGAGGGGAGGGAGTCACAAACCTCTTTGAGAATCTGATAAAGCCACAGACCCTCCCCCACCCCACCAGGAAAAAAAATACACACACATATATGTTTTTCATCCACTTTCTGGGGGGTTCTAAACCAGACTAAGAGCCTCTAGCTTAGAAGTTATAAGGACACAGGTTTCCATTTCTTATAAGAAACTATTTCTCCCTCTACCTCTAAAGCAATACTCCTGATCAGGGAAATTGATAGAAGAATTCCTACCCTGGGCAGAGAGAGTGGGAGAAGAATCTGGAGCTGGTAACCCATAGAGTCCCTCCCCATTTTAGGATTCTCTAATCTAAAAGGAATTTTTGAATAATTCCACAGTATTAAGGAAAATATTTAAAACACCATTTGTTATTGTCTTTCTCGTTACAATTTTAAATACTAACAATACCCACTGCACTCTAGTAATTGAAACAGGGTCAAAACAAAGGTCCTTGAGGCACTAACATAACTTACTAGACATATCTGAAAAGGATTTTATTCACTAGATGGACAACTACAATGGCAGCAGGTATATAAACTATTTCTTGTATAACAAACAATGAAATATTTCTCTCCACAAGTTGCCTTTTAAAAACCTTGGCTGCACTAAGGGGCATGGTAGCAGAAGCCTTATAGAATTTGCAACATAAGCTCTTGTTTATATTGGTTACAAGGATTTTTCTAGGTGGTTAGTTTATGTCATCATCACAGGACATACCTACGAGTTATCTTATTAGTATCATTACATAATTTCTGTGTTCTGGGGTCTATGTTCTAGGTAACTCATTGCTATCTAAACCTGAAGAGCTTTTTTACACATTAGCTAAAGGGGAAGAAAAGAGGTACATCTCCATTTTAATTCCACCTTTAAAGGGAAGTAAGCAAATCAAAGTACTTGAGAGTGATGCTTATTTCTTTAAAACTGAGGTTCTCAGAAATCCTAAGAAAAGCTGTCTATTATTCTTTTGAGAACTATTTCCTGGATTTTGCTCAAGTTTCTTCTATTTAAATTCTTACTAATAGTTCTGCTAATACTCCTGAAAGAGCCTCAATCCTGAAATAATTACATACACACTATATTCAAAATTACTTCAATGTTTCCTACCTACAATCATATAAAACTATAATAAGGTTTTATAAATGCCTGTTGGCAATGCACAGCGCTGCTGCTTGGAAATGATTCTCATAATAAGCAAGTGTCCAAAAGGGCTGCAAGCCTCAAGGAGAAGGTGTGTGTGTGTGTGTGTGTGTGTGTGTGTGTGTGTTATTAATTTGTTTATGGAACCCCAGTGATAGACATTACTCACTTAAAAGCCCCAACTTTATTATTGTTATTTTTCTACTGGAGCTGAAAAGCAAGATATTATTGCATCCCTTCATGTCTTGGCTTTCTCCAATTTCCATTGCTTTAATTTCCCATTCAAATCAATTTCTCAAAATGGAAAAAAAAAATCTGTCATTAATGGTAGACTTTAAGTGATATGGAGAGCTCATTTTTTTTTCTAGTTCAAGTAATAGTCTTCCAGAAAAAGATTAACGACAGTAGACATATTTTCTATACAAAGGATTGTCAAATTCCATCAAAGTCTGTCATATTGTTTTGTGAGCTTTCAACAAAAGATATCCAGACGTTAAGGGGCCATAGAGAATTTTAGAGGTTAGTTTTAGATTTTACCTTCCATCTGCTTTAGCTGTAAATACAGCTGATGAGGAGAATTATACAGGACAGCGGTTCTCAGACTTGAATGTGGAGCAGAACCATCAGGAAGGCTTATGAAAACACAGATTGCCAGGCCCCATCTCCAGAGTTTGTGACTCAGTAGGTCTGGGGTGGGGCCCAGTAAGTCACATTTCTAACAAGTTCCCTGGTGATGCTGTTGCTGCCAGTCCAGGGACCACCCTTTGTGAAGCCCTGGTACAGAAGAATCCCTGATAGATAACTGGTTGCAATGTCATATTTCCTCTATTAATTCAAATTTTCATGGCTAAGGTTTTTGAAGCATACTCTAGACCAGGCCTTAAAATGGCAGATGGCTTTCTGTAGCTTCAGAACCTACGTAAGCCACATCCTTCTCTAACTATCCTGCAGAAAAAATTAGTAAAGGCAGCAACCCTCTTCTGGAAGAAGAAATCAAGCTGTTTCTTGAGTCCCTTTCCCACTTTCTTTAAATCTCTCAGTATCTGGAGTGAAATTCAAAAGGAAAATGGTTCATAAAGCCTATCTGGAAGGGGTGGCTCTATTGGAAAGAAGATTGGCATACTCACCAGAGAGGAAATATACCCAATCGTGTGGTGATGAAAACCATGGCAAACATAACAAACAGGAGATCACAAATTTTCTGAAACTTGGCATAATTTGCCATTTTGGCAGCCTATGAAAGGAAGGAATGTGACATATTAATTTAGTTAAACTGATAAATGAAAAGCTTCTTTCAATATGCATGAGCCTCCTATAAGATATAACTTACCAGATGCATAAAACTGCCTGCTACTTTGAAATCTCATGCATCATGCATCAGTATTTATAAATTACCCATAAGTCGAGTGCAATGCAGCATTAGCCATAAGTAGAACTACTGACTGTCACAGATTTAATAAAATATTCAGGAACCTGAAAAATTCAATTATATGGTTGATTTCAGGAAAACAGAAAAATAAGAAAATTCTTGCATTATAGTTGATATTAGCAAACCAAAGACACCAAAACAGGAATTTGGCATAATAGGTCAAAATAGAAACTGTTAGATAATCCTTTAAACCTTTAAAGAGTCCTAAACGCTAAGGCTAGAAACTTAATACAGAACATATGGAGCCTTTTTGCATTTTTTCTCCTTTCTACTTAGAATTATAGGTTTTCCTTAAACAGGCATAAGGAGTATTCTGGGGAGACAGTTTCTTGGCTTATTCTCATAAATTTAGAAATGAAGAATGTGTCAAGATCATGTTATTTCAATGAATCCATTTATATATAATTTTCAAAGTTACATTAATGGGTGGTTTTCTAGATAAAGCCACTAATGTTGAAAGTGTCTGTGAGAAGTATTCTAATAATTTATAGTAATGATTTAAATGACCACTTTTTATATTATAAATTAGTCTAGGGAAGAAATCACATCCCTTTCTCTACCATCCACTTTGTTTTAACTGAAGTATAGTTGACACAATATTCTACCATCTACTTTTTACAGAGGATTCTAAGTAAAAACAGGTGACAGTGGAAACATAATTTTGCTTGATCATCATTTTTTTACATTTTCACATAGAATTCACAAGTACCCCCACACAGGGTTATAAATTGAAGATGTCTTCAGAATTCATAACATTATTTTCTACTTCTTGGAAAGTTAAATTAGCTGAGTCAAACTTGAAAGGACTGTCAACAGTATCCACAGAAGCTGTAATTTAATAGCTTTAAGTAAAACACAAAGCTGTGAGAGAAAAGTATTCTAAGGGGAAATATCTATTAACTGAGTAGAAGGCAAGATTATGCACATTTAATTTCATGAATACTTTAGGTGCGACAACACAAGTTATATTAAGAAAGAGAAGAAGCGTCTTGTGCCTCCTCCTGGCTAGGTGAACCGTGTAGTTGTTCTTTTACATTCATTCACCAGTATTCAATAAAAAAAAGCATCAAACATCAATTTCTCTAAAATATCTAGGCCATAGGCCCCACTTTGAAGAACTGACAGTCGACATATCTCATTATTTGGATATTCTTGCGCATTATTTTATAATGTCAAAGAGAACCTAGGTGATGAAGAACATTTGCTTTTAAGCCACATGACTAGGATTCCTGGATTACTTTTCTGGATAAAAGTGGTAGAGGATGATTCAATCAACATTTTCTGAACCATGGCTCAGCCAAGCATTATGCCAGCCATTTCCATAGAGATTGGCAGATTGTATAGTATTGATTTTTTTTTTTTTTTTGTGAGGAAGATCAGCCCTGAGCTAACATCCATGCTAATCCTTCTCTTTTTGCTAAGGAAGACCAGCTCTGAGCCAACATCTATTGCCAATCCTCCTCCTTTTTTTTTTCTTCCCCCCAAAGCCCCAGTAGATAGTTGCATGTCATAGTTGCACATCCTTCTAGTTGCTATATGTGGGACGTGGCCTCAGCATGGCCAGAGAAGTGGTGCGTCGGTGCGTGCCCGGGATCCGAACCCGGGCCGCCAGTAGCGGAGCACGCGCACTTAACCACTAAGGCACGGGTCGGCCCTAGTATGGATTTTAAAACTGTAGATTGTTATATAAATTTCTACTTTCAAGCATTCTTAGGATTTAACCAAATGGCAACTGATTTTCAGGGAAGTGTCCTTATACTAATTATATTTCTCCTTTAAAAAAAAAAAATATGCTGAATGGAGTCTAGCTTGAATCACTTAAAAATCATAGCGTCAAACTATCATCTGACATATCTAGCCCATTAGGACTATTTTTTCATTTCATAACCTTATAGGGACCAGAGTTTTTAATACAGTGCTGTACATATTTCAAACCTTGATTAATTGCCCTTATAGTAGATTCATTTCTATGGCGTGGGATTTGTGGTTATATTGCAATGACAGATCATGATTGGAGGGTACTTCTATTCTCTATTCACAGTGATAGTAAATGCTTCAAAGAGGCAGAACTGTGGGCCAACAGGAATAAAAAATCAGAATATAGATTCTAAGACACATTTCTACACAGGATTTGTACTCTGGTAAGTCGATGTTTCACTAGTTATATAAATTTCTTCGTATAAAGAGAAAAAACTTTAATTATCTAACATTATTGAGTGTGTCTTCACAGGCGCCATAGTTAAGAGTCAACACCACAAAATTTTCCTTGGGATTTTTTATCTTTTGAAATATGCTAGAAGCATTTTTCTTTTCTTGACACTTCAATAATTCTAAATGATGATGATTTAGAAAGTTAAAGTGAAAGCAATATTTCCTCACTCTTCATACTTATATGCATAGAAAATACAGTTTTTATATGTAATATGCAATTTGTATATACTTTTCACTGCAAAAATATGAGGATAATATGTATATTGGCAATAAAAACTATAACTACTAATTAATTTCATCAAGATGTACAACTCCCATTAATAACTAAACTGAGTTATAAACACTTTCCAGATAAATCAATGTGAAACTTATAACACCAGAAAAAAAACCTATTCAAATAATGATTTTCCTATTGTAAAACATTCATTTCTTAGTGTGGAATAGTAAAGGTTTTCATTATTCTATTAATAAAGAATGCTAACACAATGAACATTTTTTGTACAAAATTTTATATATTAAAGTCTCACTTTCACCAATCTAACCTACAAAGAAACAGTCTGCAGTTTCAAAGCACCATCTTCCCCCAGCACCATCTAGCATAACATAAAAGTGATGATTTCGGGGACTTTCTGAATTCTGGATTTTGTATTCTTAAAGATGAAAGAAAACTTTTACCTCTAAAAGAGCATCAGCTGAATCGTGAAGACAGAGGACCAGGGTCCCTACTCGGGCCATATTGTTGACATATGAAAAGGTAATCAAGCAAATAGTTACAAGGTGATGCAGGAACATAATGCCAAAGTCCTAGGGGGAGGAAAAAAACACAGCCATGTTAGGTCTTAGCAGTATCACAATATTTCCATTCATCTATTCACCATTCAACCAATACTCACTGAGGCTCCCTATGTGCCTATCACTGGGGATACTAAAATGAATAAGATAGAATTCCTACCCTCTGGGAGTTCATCATATAGTGGGAGAGACATACAGGAGACCAGCGACTACGGAGAATGTGATAAACATCAGGACTAAGGCCAGATCATAAAGGATGTTTTGTACCGAGCCAAGGAATTTGAAGCTATGGGAGAAATCACCACAAGATTTCAAGTAAAGAAAGGCACTACTTGGATTAGTACTTCAGGAAAATCTGTTGGGCAGCAGTGCAGGTCCAACTGGACTACTTCTCTGACTACTAGTAGCTTGGGATTCTGCATCTTTCTCCTGGAATATGCCCATTGGGATGTCAAAATAAAAATCCTAATATGTTGGCTTTTCTGATGGTTCCTACACAAACAAGTTCTGAATTTTAACCGTTATCTGTCCATAGTCATTAGGAAAAAAAACTGGCAAAAGTAATGGTAAATGGGCCATCCTTATTTTGATCAACTTCAAGGGAGCTACTTCTTGGCCCATGTGAAAAGGTCATCTTTCTCTGATACTAATTTATCTCCTGACCATCTAGACATGGTTTGTTGTGATTTAGAACTTCTGTGGCTAAGAAATATAATCTCTCTTTTACTGATATTTTTACTCTCATTTAATCTATATTTCTACCAGAGTAAACTTGAACTTCTCTGGGATGTAAATGCCAGGATTGGCCCTAATGGTGATCCAATTGAAGCCTTGGAGAAAGGGACCTACTTCCCTATAGACCTCATGTCCAGACAAATAAAGATCCAAAATGAAAAGCATATTATGAAACTGCGAGAGAGAGAAAAGAGAGTAAGTGCGCACACACACACACCTCTTTATTCGGTAGCTGTTGATGTCATACAGTTTGGGGTTTGAAAGGTCAACTTCAGTGAGTTTTAAATGGTTTTAAAACATTTAACAAATGGTCTTTGTTTAGATCCTGAAAGTAACTAGTGACAATCCATAAGCAATGAAATATTGCTCCAATTAGGTCCTTGCCATTTATTTCATTGTATATACAGTTCCCATATTGAAAAATTTTCCAATTATTTCATTTTAATTTATATAACTTGAACCTACAATCAAGTAGAATATTTCTACTCTTTAAATTCCTATGATACAGAATTCTTAAGAATGTCTTTTTACATTTTACAAAATCAAGCTTTAAATGATCTAAACCTTTAAATCAAGGTTTAAAAAAAAAACAACAACAACGTTTAAACGGTTCTGTATACACTTTGGTGAACATGTCCAGAGGTTACTTTTCTGCCTTGGAAAGTGCCAAACATTTATTGATAACCACATATATTGATTTATTAATAGGATAAACAATATATTAGTTTCCTAAATAAGGATGGATAATTTTAAAAATGAAGTGCAACTTTTTCTCTTATTGTCAATTAATCTAGTCTCCAAATTTGCCATGGTGCATTGATGGTGGATACCATTGTTGGAACAATCATCTGTCTTACATCAGTTAATTCTAACTGCCTCCTCGGCAGAACTTCAGAATCAAGTCTTGCAAACTCTTGCTGCCTGCTGACCTCCCACTATGCTCTTTCCTCCAGAACCACATTCCCATCTAGTTCTTTGGTCACTGGCAGAGAGAAATGATGACCATGGTTTGAGCTGAATGAGTGATTACGTACAGACTCAACTTACCAGTTTTACCTACTTCTCCTGATTTTCTCCGATGTTTTTGTAGTTTTTAGGATTTTCCTAAATCATTAAAGTTGGACAATACCAAAATGCTTTCGGTATCTAATAAAAATTGTTCTGACAATGTTTTCCACTGGAAGATGAAATCTCGTCTCTCTAGGCTGTTATCAGAGATTTACCTAGAATATAGTGTTCTACCAGACAATAGCTACTTCAAAACAATGGATCAATTAAAGTGAGCTCACCTATAAACTGATAATTTTCAACTGTTTCCCAAACATAATTAAATGAAAACATACAGCATTTAATTAAACAGCTCTATGAGTTTGTATTCACCCACGCTGAATACACAGATTTTAAACTCTTAACTAGCTGAGTACCTAACCAGAACAATACTTTCCACATTTCCCATTGTTCAGCCTTGAATGATTGTTCTTGATTCATTGAAAGAGAAAAACAGTTTTTCTCTATTTAATTTTTAAATGAATAAATATAAATTGATTAAAACACTATGGAGGATTAGGACCATTTTATAATTAAGTTTTTTAATTCATATCTGATAATAAATGTCAATAAAAAACAAAAGCCCTTGGCAATATAGCAAGGCTCCCCTAAAAACAATAGCCTTGTTTTTCAGACAAAGTTTGCTTTGTGAGGATGATTTCTGCATATAAATTCCCTGGTCCCAGAAAACATTTATTACTGAGGGGCTCAGAGTTACGTCTATGGCAGAAGACCAATTTTTATTATACTGTCATATCTATATGAATATGCAAAAAGCATGACTAATGGAGTTTGTCTTTTACATTTCTGCTTCAGAAAGCATTATACACAATGAAATATCTTTAATAAAAGCCAAGCAATCATTATTTTGTATGTTACTCACATCCCCTCACCCTGACACCTTTTTTTCAGTAGGCACTGAATCAGTCCAAATAACAGTTTTCGGACAAATAGTCAGTTTTAGCTTTATCAATGCAGGGTAGGAAACTCCAATCCTCATGTTTGTTACTGCTGAAAGTATGTATGTAAACACAGGCATGGCTGCAGGAAACTTAGCACTTTAGGTTGAGAACGATTTCCTACAATTTCGGTAGCAGCAATTAGGTAGAGAATTAGTGATTTCTTTTTGGTCTTCAGAGGAAGACTGATCTCAAAGCTCTTATTCAAAACAGAATGGTCTGGCTACCTGCTTCAGTGGTGTCCCCAGCCCCCTGCCATTCTGCCCTATTGTTTCTGGACATATTCACAGCCATCCTCCTCAAGGGCTCCTTTTACATACCCTGCCTGATATTTACCCTGATCTCAGCCCTCATTCCAGTGGGTTCTCCTACGTTAATTAGACAGAAAAAAAATTAGATGTGGTCTTGACTCAAATTCAATTAGAATAAGTCTGAAATAAAAAAATTCAAGGAAGAGCCGTCCATTCTAATACCAGAAGCTGGTAAGATAATGCTGTTTTTTCCTTATTACATTTCCAAATGACATTTAGAGAACCTAGAACAGAGTCTCAGTTTGTTCTGTGTGGCTTCTACATCAGAAACTCCTAGGTGCAGGTTAAATTGCAGCTAATTGGGCTCCATCCCCAACTGTCTGAATGAGAGAGAATCAGCATCCTTAGTTCAGTTCTCCAGGGGAATTTCATGCACAATAAAATATTAGCACCAAAAGGCCAGAGGGACCAATCTCTCATTAAGACAAGAACATATGATGTCCTATATGATGCAACGCCATTTGCCATGATCAGGCTGCAAAGAGTCTTGGAAATAATACTCTGTGGTCAGGAGGCACCAGAAATTCATCTTGATGTGCACGTTTTTATGAAGGCAAAATTAACTCATTTCTCATAGAAAATCTACCACAGGGGCTGGCCCGGTGGCACAAGTGGTTAAGTGTGCACGCTTCACTGTGGTGGCCCGGGGTTCGCTGGTTCGGATCCCGGGCGTGCACCGACGCACCGCTTGGCAAGCCATGCTGTGGCAGCATTCCATATAAAGTGGAGGAAGATGGGCACGGATGTTAGCCCAGGGCCAGTCTTCCTCAGCAAAAAAAGAGGAGGATTGGCAGATGTTAGCTCAGGGCTGATCTCACAAAAAAAAAAAAAAAAATCTACCACAAACAAAAGCAATTGTTCTCTAAATTCCCATTTGCTGGATAAAGTATTAATAATTTTATGCAGTTTCTTTTGGGAATAATCTTTGCAACAAGTAAAGAAGAGCAGTGGTGAACTTTCTTAAAAAAGGAATATAAGGCCAAAATTTTAAGTGATGGCCAATTTAGATGTGCATGGATGTTGAAGGATATGAAATACCACATATGTGCAAGACAATGAAAAGACTCCTCTCTCAGATGCAAATAACATGTACTAGCTTTCCCAAATTTAATTTAATAAATAAAATTAATAAATATAATTAATAAACCTATAATCTAACTTATACAAATAGAAATCAGGTTATTAGCACCAGGTTATCCATTTAAAAGATCTTCAAACTCTCTAGGAAACAGAAGGACAACAGCATAATTTAAAGCTGACTTCGAGGAGGAGTCAAGATGGCGGCGTAGGCAGACTCGGAACTCACCTCCTCCCGTGGACACAGCCAATTTACA